AGAACTACTATGTATAGCCGCATTCTCCTATCCTGAGACAGAATCAGGGAATGACATAAACTGAAGAACTAGAAAGAGCATCATAAAAAAAGCCAGCCACACTGAAATACGTCTTCAATAAGAGATAGAGAGACACACACATTTCTTTTTCAGTAAAGGAGGAACACCAAGGGGCAACGGTCGATAGGTCTTCAGTACTCGATCTTCAGTACCAGAGCGGCATATTATGTTAACTAGCTTTTTGCGCTAATATTGCATCTTGGTCCCATATGATATTTTTTATGGACGGTTTTGCTATTTTGTCTATTACCAATTACCTATGCCCTGTCTAGGAGCGCCAGCCATAGCATGATGAAGTGGCATCTTCTGTCATGACTGTATGCATAAATGGGCATCGGTGCTTCCCTCAGTCACTACATGTTTTTTTACATAGGTACATATCTATGAATGCATTAGCATCTTTTGTTCTTCAAAGGGCCGCGTCACCTGCAACCGCAGCAATAAGAGTAGAATATACACCTTACCAGGTTGTCCGTGCTACCGACACTGTCGTCGTTAGCCAATAGCGGTGGGGCGGATCAAACAACGTCGCAACGCATCAGGTTTTTCTCATCCATGCGCCTTTCGCAATTTGCGAGCCTGCGTGAGCTTCACTCCGTCGTCATTTGTCGCTGCCGTATTCGCCGACGGCGACTTGACATCATCGACTGTTATTTTCTTGGCAACCCTACCTTAGTGATGACGGATGTCGAACTGTAACAAACGAAAGGAGTGGGGATTGATGCTCGTGACCATCGTCGTCGTCGTCGTCGTACTGTTGATCAATCGAACGACATAATGGCAATGAGTGGCAAGCTTCTGGGACGAATTGACCGTCGCCCGCGTCTCGTATACTCGCTTTCCTAAGAAGGGGCCACGCAAATGGCAACAAGCAGTCTTTCTGCACACTAACTAAGTGCAGCAGCATAATCAGTTACGACTGAGAAACAGCGTTTATGTCGGCTCATCAATGAAAACAATACTAGATCGTCGTTCAGACGCAGCACCGCTGTCATCATCATTATATTCTACTGCTCTGTTCTATTGTGTGTTGGTTGGTAATTTCCTTATCTTCCCGCCCAACATCCACACTGTATCATCTGCCGACTGTCCTTTCGTATGGGGTGCTGCGATGACATCACGCTACCGCCGCTGCCAGCCAGCGGTTTACTGAAGGGATCAGCGGGAGTCTTATGTTATCATCTAAAGATAGCCGGCGCACAATAACAGCAGCAACAAAAGCTATAATAAGAAAAACAGCCATGACGAAACCGAAATGCTGTCGGTTGTTATAGACAGCAAATCGTACTATTATAGTGGCTGCCAACCAGCGTCGACGTAGCTGCTGGTTTTTGCCAACGGACTGCTGCTGTTACGGGGAGCGATGTGACTCGGCGGCGGCGGCGGCTGCTGCTGTCGTCGCCGCCACGCCAACGGCTGCGGTCGCAGCCGCTATTGTGGTCGTGGTCTGAGTGATGGTCCCTCCCTTTTCCACGCCGGGGCCTGCTTACTTAGCTGCATTAGTAGCAGCATCTGTAATGGTCTCGAAAACGATTGACCATCGAGTGCCACAGACATCACTGGCTGACATAGAAGTACACGAAAACCCAGCTGGTCGTGATAGTGGTTCGGCTGCTGGCCACCGGATTTCTTGGCCTATCTTGCAGTGAAGGAAAAAGAAGGCGACAGCGGCATTGGCCAAACAAGTCCACGACAGAAAGCTTTCTTTTTCCTTTTTGCCCCCTTTTACTCCCGTCTCGGTAAAGTCCTCCGGACGCACCATCTCCATCGCTAAATGCAGCTGGATCAGTTGCCTTCGTCGCTGCCACATGACCTGTGCGTCTGTGCCACATGACGCGGGCGTGAGTGTATTCTTGGCTATCTAGCGGGCGGGCCGCTGGCCCTGTTATTCTTGAGATCTGTCCCGCTGCCGCCTAAGTCGACGTCCTCCTAAACAGTAATGTTCGATGTTGTGGTCCTGCTGGCTTATGTTTTATGACAAGAAAGTGTCTTTCTTGACACAAAATAACACACGGATAGGGAGAAAAAGACGCCGCAATGCTACTAGTAGAAGTAAAAGGCAACGGTGGACGATGCAAACATCACTGCCACTGTCATCATGTCACCACGCCCCATTCCTCCTTGTCGTTCTCCTCCCGTCCATAGATTGCAAATGTCGATGCATGAGCTTGGCTGCGCTGCGTGGCGTCGGCGTTCTGTGGTGAGAATGAAGCGATCCCTTCGATGAAGTATGATATTTCGGGTTGCTGATTTCAACTGAGCTTTGCTGTCGCGCGGCGGCGAGTAGCGCACGTAGCACAACTACTAATAGAAGATAATAAATTATCGTAGACAGTTATAACGAAAGTCTTTCGCCGCAGACCTGCTCGATGATGGGCAGGTTATACATGCGCACAATCTGATGAATATTTGCCGCATCTAGGTATTGCGGGCAGAAGCGAGCTTCCAGATTGTTGTTCAGTGCTGGTCAAACCCGGTCTGGCTCGAGAGGATGCTGAACGATTTAGAGTAAGACTGAAGCACGGGTGGCTTACGCCAATGCGCCTTTCTGCTGGTAAAACGTTTTCGAGATTGTTAGTTTTACATTGCTATGGCCGATTGCTAGACGCCGGTTCGTTACAAGAGGTATTAAGGCGGCCCATTGTGGTCGTCGGGCCTAGCAGGCGTTGGCGAAGTAATATGTGCTACACTCTTGAAGGCAAACTCTCAGTATCTTTTGCCCGTACCCATATTTCTTCCTCAACAGTGTAGTAGATGGTGGTCTCAGTGACCAATGGTCTATCGGTTTTCGGATTTTTCCTCTGAAGCTTCCAATTCTTTCGTTCATCAACGAGCTGGCTCACTAGCAGCAAAGAGACTTAGACAAAAGCATACCAACGTAACCTAACCTCAATTACTGGCATCATAGGACTCGTCGATCAGTAGCAAAAATAACATTCCTCTGACACTCCCCTCTACTTTCGCTAAGGATATCGATGCACCATGCAGGTAAAGACGGTAACCTCGCAGAGCGATGGCGCACTCTGACCGTCGTCAAAATAGTGGCTCATTGAAACTATAATAGAATTCTAAAGAATAATCAGTGATCTATCAAATAGATGGAAATTGTTATACGAGTAGTAAGCCGAATTGATTCGTTCAATAGCCACAAATCTTTCTAGTGTTTGGTAAACTTTTCTGAGGTTTGTGCTTGTTTTTTTCAGCTGAATGAGAGGAAAAGGTGAAGCATGATTTTATGCCGGACCCCGATCATAAATCAAACTACCTGTCATGGTCAACAGTAGCAACCATAAGACTTGTGCGCAATACAGATTGTTTCAGTAAGGTAGCGTCAAATTGAGTGGGCATGCTAGAAGATCGTCTGCTCGGTGTTTTAATGATTATTGTTTCTTGTCAGCTAAGAATCCGATATTTCGACGTCAGCCCGCATTTATCCAGTCAAATTGCTGTCGTTATTAATAGATTTGGTTAACGGAAGCCGACCTCAGAATTGGAGTTCTTCGATCTGGCCCAATTCAGAAGTGATAGACGACCTATATCTTCGTTACGCTAACGCAAATATCAATTGCACTGATGTTGTGCAATTAAAACGCCATAATGGGTTCCTTTTAATTTTTTTTTTCCTTTTATATGGCCGAAATTGTTCTTTTAAAGCCGGACGAAGATGTGGCCCGCCAGAACCAGCGGCCTACGTGTTTGCTTACTGAACTTGCGGAGAGGTAAGGGTTCTAGTTCGCAACGGCGTAAACAGGTACCAGGATTAGCCAGCCACTTGAAGCAGCGGTTGACGGCATTGCCGGACGTAGAATTTAGAACATATAGTTAAGTATCATTGCGAGATACGTGTGTGCTTGAAGTACGACGCATATCGATGAGTGGCCAAGCCAATATGCACATACCCATTCTCAGCAAGGTAGCCAGCGACGGAACGATATTTTACGGCATTACGGCCACAGAACGAAACCTTGCTGCATAAGGGTGAATACCTTATGTTGTTATAGCCTTATGTTGAACTTGTAGAAAAGAACAAAAACGTTCGACGAGCAATCGTTCGATGTATTGCTAGAGTTTTGCCTGGTTCAGGTACTGTTGTTATCCAGTTCATCAAATTCTTACTATGTCGCCATAGCTTTTGTGTACCGAATATGCATCTGAAGTGATGCGATACAGCCTTGTTACATGCCGATTCAGCAAAGCCAATTTCCTTCCTTGCCTGTTCCTCTTAAACCTCAGTAAATGCAATGCAATTACTCGTCGCTAGTGCTTTTGTCATCGTTTGCTTTTCTGTAGACTGACATTTTGCACCACGAGATCCATAAAAGCTACACCACTCCGCAATAGAAAAAGACCTACGAGTCATCTTTTGCGGCGACACATTTGGCCAGTGGCTAGTGAGTTCCTCATTATCTTGTGCTCCTTGTGCGATTTCATGATAATTGCACGTAATCGTAACGTGTTAATGACGACGATACGCACTCGGCACCGATCGACACATCCCCATATACACGCGCATCCTCATAGCAACAGCATCGGCAATCGTTGAACTACAACTGCTTTTCCTGTTATCAGCGATATGAAGTAGATACGACGATCTACTGTCGTAGTAGTAGATGACCAGCAATACCTGTGCCCGGTACTTCCATAGATATATATATATATATATATATATATATACAGTATGGCGGGTGACACAATTTGTCTGGCAGCGCTACCAGAACTGGGACTAGTGGCCGCTGCCAGCGAACGGGGAGCCATCGAGAACCGTAAGCTTTTGCACAATTAGTTAGTACTTGGCCGAGGTGTAAATAAAAGATGACAACACAATAATAATATCTTTCAAATGCAAGACATGTTGAAACAATCAACCTATCGAAATACCTACGATGCTTTAAATAGGGCATAAATAAGCTTGACTCGTTGTAACGATCCCATTAACTTACCCATTATGGCAATCCTCTTCATCTGAGCTCCAATGACGAGTCATGCCTTCAGCCAAGTTCTGAAACCGGCAATAAAAATTGACAATATTTAGTGGCTTGCATACCATATATAAACATTTGCTCTTAATAACTATTATTAAAAAGGAGGTCAAGCCTTCGTCAAGCTTTTGCCCGTAGTGTTAAACAAGCGAACTAACCCTCAATTTATTTCTGCGCTGGCTCTGTATTACAGAAAGGTCTTTGGATACCTGAATGTTCTTAGCATCTCTTCAAAAAAGCCCGCTCAACGCATCTTTCATTTAACCAAAACGAGCGCTTATTTGTCTCGCTACTTTCAGCCCCTCTTCCATAGCCATTGCCCTCGTATGCCCGAGTCATTTTTGCCCTCATTGGCAAATAATTAAAGAAGTAATTCAATTAGGAAATGGGCAACGAGTTCGATGAGCGATTTGTCGACCTGCCTACCTTTCCGTTTCGAAAGCCGAAGAGAAAATTCTATTTAGAAAGAAGGACCATCAGGCGAGGAAGCGACATAAAAATGTATTCGATTGTATCCACTCTTTGTCGTTTCCAGATGATTGTACTACAGTTGTTAACACTGACCATAACCCTGGTAATAGGGGCGACCGCTATGTTTAATCAGTATAGACAAATTTAACTAGCTGCCTGTGTATCTCTTTGTATGTGTGCGTGTGTGTTTACGGGGGCCTCCTCCAATTCGATAACGAAGAAAAAAGCTAAATAAGTTAAGCCGAAGACGAAAAAAGACCCCGTCTTGCATTGCCTCGTCGTTTGAGTTTTCTTCCTCCCAGGCCCTTAACGACTTTGTCTCGCACGCCCGCGGGGCAGACGCGATGTCGATGCGACGACGCTGATGTTGTTGGTTATGACTCTCCTTGCGCGCCAACACCATTCGACAATGGCCTTTTACGGTACTTCGATTGAAGAAGCGGCAAAGGAAAGAAATTTAAATCTTCGACTAAACTAAAGACGTGGGCTACGATTAGGCAAGGTACGACATTATACAAATCAGATGCTTGACCTATTTCAAAAAAGCAATGCAACCATATTCACTTTCTTTTTTACCCTTGCGTTCCTTACTTCCCTTCTGGGCACTTAGTCTGATGGCGACATGGCCGGTCGTTCGTCATTGACTAGACTACCTACTAAGGGTCTTCTGCTAGTCAGGCAAACAGCCGATCGAAAAAAAGGCAAAGATGAAAAAGCTCAACGAAACACATAGTTGAAAGGAGAAGCAGGTAGACAAGCAAAAATATATCTGCTTTTGCCGCCGGAGCAGCGCTAGTACCAAAAGAGGAAAGAGGCGGGCAGCTTTGGAGCGGTCTCAGTCACCACCGTCGTCGCTCAGCACAATCCGGAGGGGTGAAGAAGATTCGAGTAGACAGCAGCTATCTACGTTCGACGCTGCGCAAACAACGATACAACCAGCAATTAACGATGAGCCGCCGGTAGCAGTGAACCGGTTCATTCAGCAACGACAACGATAACGCCACCAGCTACAGCCATTGACAGCTACATAGATGTTCGGCTGTTCTGGTGACGTCCGCTGGCTACCACGTCGTCGTCTTCGCTGATAATAATGGCAGCAACCCCAGCATGCAATGGCTGTACGAGCGACGATCAGCGAAAAGGTCATAGCTTGACGTATTTGGAGCGTTTTATTTTAAGCTAAGTGAACTAACTTGCCTTGAGCTATGAGGACATCTCTCCCTCAGTCTGAGAAAATAGTAGTAGATCGTTCTACCACTATGCAGCACTTGCATTGCTGCCAACTCTCCTCTTCCTGGCGAGAAACGAACATGGCGGGAGAAATAAGAAGGGCTTAAACGTGAAGAAAGGCCGCGTACGCAACGAAGTGATTCGTGGTGGTGGCGAGTCAAACCGCCATCGGCGGCAGTTTATTAGAAGCATCCGGCGCGCCGGATGCTGCGTCGCAACTACGGTGATTACTGCTGCTGCTGCTGCTGCTGTTGCTGTTGTTGAAGCCACCATCGCCATCACGATGGCTACGGCGATGTTGTTGCAGATAGAGAGGCAGGCCACTTTTGTGTCCAGTTTCTGCTGACGACGCTGATACTCCACCCCTCCCCTCTCCCCCCCTCCGCACACACTTTTTGTGTACAGCTACTAGTACTATTTTTGCAATAGATTACATACTGTTGCTTTGTCCCGTCTCACTCAGCGTTCGGTGCTCGCTGAGCGTTCAATAGCTGCTTTACGTTCCATTACGGCAATGTATGAAGGCTGTTAAGCGATGATCAACCGACGACGCTAAAGCGTCGAGGAAATAGAAGACCTTCTAGCTGGTAGCGCTGCCACCGCTGTTTCGGTGGCTACACTTGCTTTAAATATGGCAAAAGGAACACAGCAGCAGAGTACAGTAAGGCCGGACGGGTCAGTGGCAACGAGCCTGAACAGGAAGAAACGAATCCATATCCCCCCCCCCCGCGCCTCCCCCATCGGCCCACTTCTGGTCGCGAACGGTAGCCAAAGAGGAAAAGTCAGGAGAGTGGTACGCGCTCCGGTCGACAACAACGGCCACTCGAATGGGAAATCAACTCCGCCGAAGCTAAACTGTGCGTTTTCGATTTGCGTACACGATGCAGCATCATCTCATTGTGACGGGGCAATGGCACCCAATGAAGGACAGCAGAAGGCTGGTATAGTAGATAACATCTGCTACTTGCACGTGTGGGGTACTTCTGTTGATTAAAAAACAAAAAGGCCGTTACTAGAATGTATAAGACAGGGGCAGACTTAGTAACGGACAAAGCATCGGTTTCTTCCTTGTTGACGTCGTCGTCGCCGTTGTTGTCAACAAAATAAAAGGTTTTTTACACAGAGCAGCAAATAAATTAAAGATAGATAGCTTAAACGCGACGAACAACGGGGCAATGGTACACTGCGTAGATTGTGACTCAGATGATGATGCCGCTACTAACATTGGTCTTCACTCATCTGGTCACGTTTGGGTCAAGCGACCAATGCGAACGAAGGATAAACGACGCCGAAATAGACAGGGTGGCAAGACAATCAAGAAAAAAGAGCAAAATAGAGGGGACAAAACATTGTCAGAGGAGATCGAAGAGAAGAAACAGTTAATAATTAAGCCAGTTTGTATCCTCTTCACTTGAATGGCATTTATTCATGAACGATGCTCAAATACGAAGCGGAGGTAGAGGGGGAGGTTGGCCGGGAAACCAACTTTGAATGAAACCGTCCTTGTTCACACCTGATTCGACTGACCAGCCACCAAGACATGGCCTACCTAAGTTAAATGCTGAAAATGAGGATATGAACGACAAGCGAAGCCAACATTGAGTCCTGCTACTGCTGCTGTCACTGCCATTAGACAGAAAGACGCTCTACGTTGAAAATGGACGCGAACAAGGAAAAGCAGAAGCATGACCGCCTCCACTTAAGGGAACGAAGTTGCACAGCATCATATTGAGAATTTGAACCACATCACCCGATGCCTGATCTACATCGACAGGCGGAAAATAGCCAAAAAAGCCTATGGCGTTATTGTAAGGCCTTAATTAAAGATATTCGTAGGCGAAAAAGTCCTTCGCAGTGACATAATTAACAACGTTTGTATTAAACGTCGAATACGAAGGCGTCAGTCATAACGCAGTCCGAAGAGACCTGTGCGTCCATGAATAAACGAAGCAAAATGCCATTTGGATAATAGTACATATATAAAAGTTATGTTAAGGTATGATGACTTCAACAGCTGCGATGATCCACACGTATACGTAATAGAAGAGCCATGTTTGGACCGAAAGTCGCTTTTCGATTTAGCCATGGCGGCAGCATGCAGACACCCAATTTAAGGAGAGGTTTTTGTCGCATCAACGGCATCAGGATTCTGGAGCGACAAAAAGCAGGAATCTTCTTCTTTCGAGGAGTAATAATCTTCTCGACAACGACTCCCGCTTCCAATATAGCCGCATCGTCAATCAGACAAAAAACGGTTCGGGCAACGGTCATTACAGCGTACAACAATTAGCGAACCAACACAATCAGCATCTGTAGACAACAATCCCATCAAGAGACAGCATTCCTTGGTTACCTGACTCATTGTATCAGAGACGAGCCGATACTTGAGAAGGCAATAGAGCTACGGTAGAAAGCGCGAGGAGGAACATCAGGACATTAGGGGAGGAGGAGGAAATGGGGGTGCTGGTGGCGCCGCGGACGCTAGTCAGGGCGAGAATAATAGGCAGCAGGACCAACAATAATATATCGATAAATGTTTCGACAAAAAATTACAAAATGAGATGAAACTTCAGATCAAATGCTGCCTTCGTCCTTTTTCCCGTTTAGCTGTATCTCGTGCTGCGTTCTTGCTTTTTTACTCTCTCTCTCTCTCTCTCTCTCAGCCGACGTCGAAGCGATCTTACCATCTCGCGACTGCTATTGTCAGTGTTGACGCCAGTCGTTCGATCGTTTTGACTCAAAGGTGGCCGCTGCCGTCCCAGCGACGACGCACAACGATGAGCAGGAGAGATGGACGAAAATGAATAGTAGCAGAAACAACAGTAGCCGAGAACGCGCCCACTATCGACCAAAGGGTGTCGATTGGTAGAAAAAAAGGCGCGGAACAATAACAAGAAAAACGACAACATAGAGACGATGAAGGGCAGGCGAAAAAATGGAGGAAGAGGGTTGGGGGTAGGGGAAAAGTGTAGAATACGCGAGACGGCGATGGAGAGATCGAAAACGGCAGGAGAAAACGAAGATTCTAAGCCGAGCTATCCATGGGCTCCTTCGGCTATCTGAACTAACGGCTGCCAACCAGCCGGATGATTCCATGCGCGCTAATTGAAACTGTCAATAACAACACTCAGACAGATAGGAGGACGGACGGATAAAACTACGAAAGAAGCTCGGAGTTTATGAGCGATAAAGGAAGAGATGCGGAGCAAAACTGGACAACCGAAATAAAAAAGTAGGTAGCATCGAGGAGCGGACATGCAAGAGGAACGAGAGACGAGATTCGACGTTAACGCGGGACAAGTGAGAAAAAATGATGGGC